TTCTGCTGTTCGTGTGGGTTCTTTTTCTTTTTAATTCGTTCGTCATCTATTACAATGTTGTTGTTCTTACTTTTTCGCAATTGAATGACACTCACTCCTCGTATCGTATCATATGGTATTGATTTTCTTCTTCTTCTTCCTCCTCTTCTGCTTCTTCTTGTTCATCACTTTTCTTTCAATACACAGCCTGCCAGCCAGCTATTTTTGTTCGGTGTTGCCGATATTATATCTTACTTGTTTTCTGGTTTAAGTACGAATATTTTTTCTTCTTCAGAAAGCTCCTAACCGTTTTTCTCTGTGCCACTTCTTCTGCCATCCCTTCCATAACACCGCCTGGGCCTTTCGCTCGTATCGAGTGAAATGTCATTGTATTTTATGACTCCTTCACGGTGAAAACAATTGCGTAAAGAAATGTGTTGATGATGAATTGTTAGGGGCGATGTAAATGTGTGCGTGTGCCAATGTGTTTTTGACATTTAGTGCCAAGTTTTTTTTTTTTTTGTGTTGTTCCACACAAATGTATTTTTCCGGTGCGTATGTCATCTCGTAACCCATTCACACAATGTCTGTTAGTTGTCGGTTGCCAAATATGCTGCATTGCAGCATACAAACCCTCCCATTGATAATGGCTCTCTATTTACATAACCTCAAAATGTGTGGTTATTTAGAGTGTGTACCTTTGGGTATTAAATTGGGACTTCGATTTGAGGTAGGGTCTCTAGGCGCAACTACGATTAAAACCAATTTACCTGATTTCATTTCCATAGCAATTGGCTTTTTTGCTTAACTAGTTTTCTATTAGTTCCGATCCCAAAAGAGGAATTTATTAAGAGGAATTTAATTTGAAAAAGGTTGGGATGTCGAATTTTCATTTCATAAGGACCCAAATCACATCCAGATCTGTTGAAAAGTAGATCTCAATGCCACGAAATACCGATTAGCTATATGGGTACCATGGTAGAAGAATATAGGTAGACGCATCGACACAGCTGTTTGGACAATGAACTGTCAAACCAATTTTGGAATTTGGAAATGTTGAATGAAAAGTTATTTAAATTTGCAAAAATTGTTGAAAAATGCGGATTATAATAACCTCCGAATGACGTCGTATAAGAAAACATATAAAAATCTACTTATATTCGAAAAATATTTACAATTTTTTGACATATCAATGCTCCCAAGCGTTGATGCATCTACCTGTATTCTTCTGCCATGGTACTATGCCAATTAGTATTCAGTATTAATTCAAAATACCAAAAAACAGTAGCTACAGTTATATGGAGAGGCTTTATTTAAATAACTAAACATAACTTGAAGAACGATCGATCAGAGAAAACTGATATTTATGGGTGAATACCCTCTACCATTTCAAAGGATCTTAATAAATTAAAAAAATCTTTGAAATATGCCGCTATAATTCAAAATATTCCGAATGTCAGATGTTCTATAAGGTTCTAATAATTAAAGAACGATCGATCAGAGAAAACTGATATTTATGGGTGAATACCCTCTACCATTTCAAAGGATCTTAATAAATTAAAAAAATCTTTGAAATATGCCGCTATAATTCAAAATATTCCGAATGTCAGATGTTCTATAAGGTTTGCATTCAATTATCTGCCAGAAAATGTGGTACCATTTACGAACTCAAAACACCAAGTTAAAGACAATTCTGTTGAAGAGTGGAACTAAAACCATCAAAATACTAAATATTGGAAGGTTATATGGTGGCTACACGAAGACGTAAATTTTTATGGACAATTTTCTGTCGTAGGAATCCAAACTCTAAATTCCGAATTTCCTGATTATTCTGTTGAAAAGCAAAAATCGTCAAAATACATAATATAAACAGTTACAATTGTAAGGGAGCTTTACGAAGATGAGGACCTGTAAAGGCACTCTTCTATCATTGAAGGTAGTACCCATTACAAAATCCAAATATCAAATTCGAAATAATTCAGGTGAAAACTGTGACACAAATATCGAATCGAATATCTGGAAATAAAGTTATATGAAGTCTATACCCAAACTTGGACCAACATGTACAGCTTTTTGCAAGTGTGTTTCCAAATTCACAGTGAGTTCGGATTAAAAAAACACCTAGAAACTTTAAATCTGTTGGTGCACTTATATAGGCCCATAGCAAAACGTGGACCTATATGGCCCATTTTCAATACCAAAAGTCCTGCGGAACTAATTCGGGAATTCGGGTAAAAACGGAATTTCGAGGTGTTACAAACGGAATGACAAACTTAATATTTCCTCCATCCTATGGTTGAGGATTTAAAAATAATCAACTGATCTTAGCTTAAACAGCGGCGTAATTCCTAGTTTTTGACTTTAAGCTTTGCTATACAGGGTGAGATAAAAAAACTGCAACAAAGTCAAACGCCATAATTTTTACATTTTTTTAATTTTATTGAATGAAAGCAAAAAATGCATCAAATTTTAGAATAAGTTTAGATTTGTACGAATTGGTCACCTTTGGCACGAATTATGGCCTTCAAACGGCCAATGAAACCGTCATACGCTGCCGCTGAATGTTGCTCTGCGGTATTTTGACACATTTGCTTTCCAAAATACTCCAGATACAATGGTCCAACGGATTGGTATCCGGAGATTTTTGTGCCAATTGTGCGCTGGATACGAAGCGAGGAACCTCATTTTGTAAGCATTCTTGGGCGGCGCGTGCTGAGAGCAACGGTGCTGAGTCCTGTTGGAATGTCCAAGGTCTGCGGCCAAAATGTTTGCGTGCCCAAGGCTTTAATGCACCCTCCAGAATATTTTCGCGATAATATTCGGCATTTATTCTTATGCCACGGTCAAATTAGACGAGCGGAGAGCGACCATCGGCAGCTATGGCGGCCCACACCATCACCATGGGTGAAGCTTGAGTTCTGGTGGCCAACCGAAGGTGCACATTTTCAGCTGACCTCTTTGGCAAGTAAACACGATCATTTTGTTTGTTTACAAACTGCTGGACAACGAATGTTTTCTCATCGGAGAAAACCAAATTCGGCAGTTCACCACTTTCGGCCAAGCGAAGCAGTTCTTTAGCTCTATTGAGTCTATTTTCTTTCTGTTGTGGTTTAAGTTCTTGCACTTTTAGGAATTTCAACGGCTTCAAACTGCTGTCATTTCTAAGCCACTCGTCCGCAGACCTTGGACATTCCAAGAATGGTTACACAATGAGGTTCCTCGTTTCATTACCAACGCACAATGCCCACAAAAATTTCCGGATATCAATCCGTTGGACTATTATTTCTGGAGTATTTTCGAAAGCAAGGTCGGCACTAAAAAATACCGAAGTGTCGATCACCACAAGCAAGCGCTTCGCCGGGAATGGCCCAAAATACCGAAGAGCATAAAATGCAAATGAATTTGTTAGTCTTCAATTTGTAGACGGATTTAGGTTCTCAGACCAGAATTATTTTAAGACACTATAGTCATAGTCTTAACCAAGGTGTATTTACAAGGTGATACTGCAAAATCAATCCGGCCTCTTTTAACAAATTTTTAAGTTAAAATATAGTATATTTTAGTATTATCTCCTATTCAAGAAACGTGAGATTATTTGTTCCCGAATCCTCATTTATGCGACTTTACTATATAGGCCCATATTTTGAGCTATATTTCGCAAGATTTAAGATATAGCTTTGACATGTTATAGATAGCTTTGGGTTACTTCAAGGATCATTCATTTAAAACGTGAGTAATGTTGGTACACCTTTTGGCGTAGACCCTACATAAGGCCGTCGCAACGTGAAATAACCTAAAAAGAATCAATCGTGATTCAACTTGCGGATAAAAGTAAATTTCAGCAAAACACACAAAAGGGGCTCACTTCTTGTTTTACGAAAATTTAAAATAAGACTTTTTATAAAGAAAATATTTTCCATTTTATGTTTCTTCAGAACAAGAATTTGAGCCTGCCACGGTGTAACGACGTATAAGTGCCCGGAAATGTTTAGATGTAGCGTAGCAGACTAAGGATTTATCAAAATTCTTGTCATTGGTGGATTTTTAAAGACCTTTGGGAAGTTTATACAAATCAATTACTAGTCTCGATATGTTCCGATTTGGATGAAAATTGCATTTCGCTGAAAAAATCCGTTCAAGCTATTATTACTAGGGTCTTTGCAAGCTTGGTTGCGTTCGGCAGATGTCTTACCAATAGGAAATGCTATGAAGTCCGAATTTTATCCAGCCGCTCCTCTGAATAAAAATCTGCACACTGTTTTCTCTACAATATATGTAGAATGAAATGGAAAATAGTTCTCGTTAGGATCTCAAGAAACTATTCACAATTACAAATACCGATGCTATGCTTCCACATGTACAATTTATACAGTTGTACAACAATTTTCAAAATACACGGCTAATTCGTCATCAACATTGCCTCGACGGTTACTCAGTATGTGTGTGTATGTGTGAGTCAGAACATTTCCACAGTTGTTTTTTTCTGTTATTGGCAACTTTATATAATGACCTTATTATCCTTAGCAATAAATCCGTTTGCTGTGTGGTAGCCAATACACTTTGCAGCAGCAAAGGAGGGGTGAGGTATGACAAAAGGACGAAGGCAAAAAAAAATAAAACAACAGCGAACGGCAACAGCAACAAAGCCCCAGCAAAGAAGACATGTCTAACCAAAGGACTGCATTTGTTGTATGTTTTGTACAGGTTTTTTGCCAGGGTGAGTACGTGTATTGGTCTCTGTGTGTGTGTGAACACATGCGGTTCGTCGTTGTAGTCGTCATCGTCGTCGTTGTTTTAGTTGAGTTCAGTTTTAGTGTTGCACTGCAAAATACTGCAGTATGAAATCACTTGAATGGGTTTTGCTTTGTCGTAATATGACCCATTGGCCTGCTTAAAAACTACACTGAAATATCACCATGACTAGTCAGTCGGCAGTTGTATTTATGTATGTCTGTATGTTGTTTGTTGGGGATGTCAGTTGTTCGGTGTCGTATATGTTCCATTTGAAAAAGGGTACTTACCTTGTCAACCGGCATTGATGGGCACGCTCTACACAAATTCCAAAATGAGCCGATCATAAGGAAGTGTTTTATTGCTCAACGATGAACTAATCAATTGAAAGACAAGAACACAAGACAATAACAATTCAAATGTGATCGAATTGGGTAAGGTCTGCAAATGGTACGCAGGCGGTACGCTTTGCTCTCTTAGAGGGTTAAACAACGAACAATTAACAACATTAATTAACTCTTTTTGGTTTTTTATTTGTTAGTCGCGTAATCTTTTTTCGTTTTTACTTTTTTTTTGGTTTGGTTTGGATTAGTAAGGTATATACATGTAGAGAGGAGGCGAAGGGAGGAGATAACACGTAGTTAGATATAGGTATATACTTTTTTGGTATTATTTTCGTAATAAGTTAACGTTCATGTATTTTAACACACATGGCTGGGTTGAGGTATTAAAAACAATAACTTTCATCTACAGGAAGCTTTGAGGTAGAAAAAATACAAACAAACAAACAAGAAGTATTAAAAATAAATTACAAAACATATTTTGAGGGCTTTGAAAATTAGCAATACTTTAGCATACTTTAAGGAGTGTGGCGTAAATGTCAAATCAAGTGTTCTTGCTTACTCTTTGCCGTCGTCGTCGTTGTGTCTTTGCTTCTTTTGCTGTTTCTGTTTCCTTTGTCTGTTCACTCCGTTCGTTCGGTAGAGCAAAACCCAAAAACACGCACCGTACGGAATTTTGAGGAAGTCAAAAATTCATTCACCACCGAAGAGCTCTGGCTTGTAGTTTTTACTCCGGGCCGTATCAACACACTCCGTACGTGCAGAGAACAGTGAAACTCAGAGCACAACGAATATGCGATGGCTTAAACTTTGCCTTACACTGCAAACACACACTCACACGACATGTGGTTATATGTGTGTGTGTGCGAGCGAGCTAGCGAAAAGCATACACCAGGAAAAGTGGTGATCTCACACATTGAAAAATATAATGTGGAAAATTTTCACTTCTTGTGGTATACTACGTACATATGGCGAAGGCAAGGCAATCAATGTCTTTTCCTTTTTTTCCCAAAAAGAAATCAAAGCAAAAAAGCAGACATTAACAAAATTTCTGTGGTCATCCTAAAAGTATGCTTCAATTAAAAATCGTATGTATGGATTTTTCTTCTTGTCATTCGCAGGGATAAGCAATAAGAAATCGTTCAATTAACAGTTAATACGCACACACACTCATACATACAATATACACATACACCAACAACACACCGTTAATTCATGTATGTACCGTTATGTTTGTCACTTCTTCGTCTTCTTTGATAGATTTTCGCTTAATTTGTGTTTAAAAAAAAAATTAATTTCTTGTGCTTAAGGTCAAGTAATTATTTTTTCTCTTTTTTCTTCTTTGGGTATATGCGTTTTTTTTTATTTCTTCTTTTGCTCGAAGCAACAAAAACAACAACAATTTTCTTGCTATGGAAATTTTTTTACAAAGAGAAGAAAATTCCAATAATTTTCTATTTGTTGGACGCGCTCGTTGGTGGTTCGACAATCAGTTTTGATTTGAAACTTTTTAACAACTTATCACGACGATTACACGAACACGACTGAAAAATTTGCACTCAGCTCTTGGTAAATTTTGTTGGGCTTATTCGTTTGGTCTTGAGCGCACACACACACACGTACACACAGCGGCATGACATGACAAAGGAGTGGTTGGAAAAATGAATGCAAATGAACGGTGGTGCTAATGTTTAGCCACGAAAATGGCTTTATTTGTTGTCCGGCTGGTTGACATCATTGTTGACAGTGGTGAATAGTTAGGTTGGTGGTGGAAAAAGCTCTATTTGTGGAAAGCTTTTCTTCAAGGGGGATCACATCATTCGAATGAGTTGTATGAATGCAAAACATCAAAGATATGATGATAAAGTAATACAGGTAGCTTCATCAAAAAAAGTGGTACAACGGACTGTCAAAACAATTTTAGAATTAAAATGTTTGGATAAAAAGTTATATTTGGTTCAAGGTAATTTGTCTTGTGTAAACACCATGCTATCGACGCTAGCTATCATGGCAGAAGAATATAGGTAGTCGCATCAACACAGCTGCTGGGACAATGAACTGTCAAACCAATTTTGGAATTGAAAATGTTGAATGAAAAATTATTTAAATTTGTAAAAATTGTTGAAAAATGTGAATTATACTAACCTCCGAATTACGTCGTATAAGAAAACATATAAAAATCTACTTATATTTGAAAAAACATTAAAAAATTTTTTTGACATATCAATGCTCCCATGCGTTTATGCATCTACCTGTATTCTTCTGCCATGCTTGGAATGGAAGATAGCAATTTTTACATTTTTTGATGTAAGGTCCTACTTGAGAAAATAAGATAAATATTTCTATATGCTTTAGTTTAGTTATAAATTATGAAGAAATACAATACAAATTTGAAAAAAAAAAAAAAACAAATAAAGGTCTAATAATGAAATAATCGAGTGATAGTAAAATAAGTAGTAAAACTTTGATAAAAAAAATTATACAACTGTCTTGCGTAGTAAAATTTAGAAAGTAAATTCATTTCATAGAAGCATATCCATCTCTGCATTTACAGGGTGAGATGAAAAAACTGCAACCAACTTCAGACTGCTGTCATTTTTAAGCCACTCGTCCGACAGCTGTTAAAATTATTCCAGGGACAGCTTGTTTTATTCAAAACAATACACACACATATACAAAATGTGTATATGTTTTAAGGGCACTGAGAGCAAATGTAATGTTAATATTAAATTAGTTTTAATAAACAAATAATAAACTTCTTATTGACGTAAAACGCGTGATTTATGAAACACTTTTGACATACATGTCAGCAGCCAAATAAAAAAACCCTTTGTCATTGGTAAACATGAAATTTGACAACAATTTCAACATAACGACAATAATCAACAAAATAAGTTTGAATTTATAATAAATTTAAAAATTTTTAATACATTTTCAAATATCGATATATAAAATTCGATAAATAGAATCAGAAACGAATAAAGAAAATGAAGGAACGTGAAGTTCTTCGATTTATTGCCAACATTTGAATTGAATGGTGTGGCGTTACCAACTCTCATGTTGATATTGTTGCGTTGCCAACATTTATTCGTGCTGTTGTTGTAATTAAAAAGAGAATTGAGTTGTTTACACTCTCTCCAGACATTTTCATTTATTCGTGAATTTCAATGTGAGCGGACGTGATTTTTGGATGTGCGGCAATCGAAATCGACCCTTGTTTTAACAAAAAAAAAAAAAAACTTTGTTATTTGTGTTTAGTGAAGAATTTTTGTTGTTTTGATGAATTAAAATTATTCCACTAAGTGATAAAAGTATGCCTAACTAGGTCTACGCAACACAAAGAGTGAATCGAAAGCAAAAAAATTTTACATTGAGTGAAAAGAAAAAAAAATATATGCAACCCCACAAATAAAGCTGGGCTGGGAAATAGTGGAAAATGTGATGTGCAAACAACCTTGAAACCATGAATTAAATCCAACAAAAGAAAAAAAAGAAAGGTAAATAAATGAAGAAGAGCATTTGAATCCGCAAGACACGGTACATAAAAACAATACACACAAATGAAAATGAATAGAAAAAAGAAAGTACACCACCAACAGCAACAATACAAATAACTATTGAAATATTGAAAGAAGAAAACAAAGGCAAAAAGTGGTACTTTATTCAATTCTGTAGTTGTTGTTTTTATGTAAAGCTTGGAATGTGCATTACATTCTTCTTTACGGCAGTGACGAGACGACGTGAGCAAGTGCTGTATAGTGGAAGTTGTCTCAAGTGAATCCACAGGATAACAATATGAAAAGACTGGATGAATTTTGTTGTTGTAAAAACCCTATAAAGTTATAATAAAATAAATTGTTGGGTTTGCTGCTTCGTTTGGCAACGACGACAATCAAGAAGAATAAGAGGAAGACAAGTACGAAAAAGGTCCTACGAAAAGTCGATGCCGCCACCGCCACCATCATCCCTGCGCCCTGACCAACCAAACAAAACAAAAAGGAATAGAAGCTAAAGGTTTGGTGGTGTCTGCCAGTCGGTCGTCTTTGTATCGTATGTTTTTGTGCTGTTTGTGGGGGTATGTTTCTCATTGCGAGGGGTGTAAAATACAACAAATCAAGCAAGGAAAACAAAAACAAAATTTTCCATTGAGCAAATGTTAAAGTGAAAGGAGAAAGGGAACGAACGATGTAAACGAAACCAACGAAAAAATAATAAGGGCGTCCTATAAGATACATCACATCATAGCGTAGCGTAGTTAGTTCGTACGTTCGTTGTTCTTATTACTTACTTTGTTGACGTTGTTGTTGTTGTTGTTGGTTTTATTGATGCATAAAGTCTGTGGCCATGGTGGTGCATGCATGGCATACAACAAAATTTCTGCATATTGCTCAAAAGATGACTTCGGTTCTTGGTAGTTTTATTCTTGTTTAAAGGTATTAAAGTTTGGCTCTTTTGTATCACACAGACGGTGATTGTCTGGATAGTGTCTTTCAAAATTATGGGGTATGTGGATCGATTGAACCGAATCAGAATTTTCACACTATATTCAATTTAAACCGCATTGCTTTAATTTAACAGTCTACCTTAGTGAGGGGACAGTAAAGAGGACACCCTTGCAGACAGGCGTGAAACAAAACAGCTATCACTTTCTGGAAAGACAACCCAGATGCCCAAAATTTTGGATCATAAGACCCAAAGTCATCTACGACTTCTCAAAGGGGTCTTTAGCGGCGCAAAATTTTGGAGATCAGAATTTTTATCTATATATACAGGTCACATATATTGGTCACCTTTGCCTCGAATTATGGCCTTCAAACGGTCAATGAAATGTGAATGAATGTTGCTCTGCGGTATTTTGGCCAAATCCCGGCGAAGCGCTTGCTTGAGGTCATCGACACTTTGGTATTTTTAGTGCTAACCTCGATTTCCAAAATACTCCAGACAAAATAGTCCAACGGATTGGTATCCGGATATTTTGGTGGCCATTTTGCGCTGGAAACGAAGCGAGGAACTCTATTTTGTAACCATTCTTGGGTTTCGCGTGCTGAGTCCTGCTGGAATGTCCAAGGTCTGCGGCGAAAATGTTTGCTTGCCCAAGGCTTTAAAACATCCTCCGGAATATTTTTGACAATAATATTCTTATTCTGATGCCACGGTCGATTAATACGAGCGGAGAGCGACCATTGACTGTAATGACCCCTACCATCATCATGGCCAGCACTTGAGTTCTGGTGGCCAATCGAAAGTGCACATTTTCAGCTGACCTCTTTGGCAAGTAAACACGATTATTTTCTTTGTTGCTAAACAACGAATGTTTTCTCATCGGGAAAAACCAAATTAGGCAGTTCACAACTTTTGGCCAAGCGAGTTTATTTTCTTTCCATTGCGGTGTAAGTTCTAGCACTTATTGGAATATGACTTTACCCTGAGCTCATTTTTCAATATTTTCGAATGGAATATTGCGATATGTTCGGCTCACGAGCCATTTTCGGCCAATGCGACGCGGGTTTCGAACAAGTCGCTTCTTTACTTTTCGAACCATTGCTGCTGATGTTGCTATTTTCTTCCGTCCACTTCCTTTACGTCGGGCTACGCTACCAGTAGCACGGTAACGAGCGATGGTACGAGACACAATCGATTTATTCACATATAAATGCTGGAGTGCTCTAACTATAGTCACTTGTGGTTTTCCAGCCAAATATAAAGATATCACGCTTAAATTCCATCACGAATAACTTTTTTTCTGAAAATTTTTCACCAGAATGCTTTTGTACACTTATAAACAATATAATGAGCTGTCACTGGAGTAATTTTAACAGCTGTCGGACGAGTGGCTTAGTAATGACAGCAGTCGGAAGTTGGTTGCAGTTTTTTCATCTCACTCTAATAATTGAGTACCTAAACATCCCATCCGCTGCTCTTGGAGTATACATAATCTTATTAGTCTTAAAATTTATTTCTAAAATAATAATGGTTATTTATACAATTATTTAAATTACTTTATTTTTTGTTTAGTAAACAAGTCTAACTAACCCAAATTAGTTACCTCTTTGAGTGTTATTTACCCCGGGTAAGGCGGCTGTCCCACTTTCATTTTCCATTTTTATTATGTTTACCACTTAAATTGGTTCGGACCATTTTATTCAGTTATCAAAGCACCGTTGTAAGATATTTGCAAATATTTACGTGTAAATTTAGATACACATAATTTCCCCCAATCATTTAACATAATGAAACATATTTCTCAAATAACAAGTCTACATTTCTAATTTTTCTGACATAATTGCAGACAGCAGACAAATTGGCAACAATTGTTAAACTTAGCACACTTTTGCAGATAGAGATTGCTGTTCTGTGGTTCCCAAACAACGTCGGCACTGTTTGAATTTTGTTTACATATCTTGAGTACCATTGTGTAACAACAAAAAAGTATGTGCAAAATTCAAAAGTTTTACATATTCCGATGATATTATCAACCTAAATTTCGATAAAAAAGAAAAACGTCTTGTCTTTGTCTGATATGTCATTGGCTACCTTGACAATTGAGAGGCACATTTATACAAAAGTTTATTTACATTTAAAACGCTTACAATGTGCCAAAATACGCCAGACACATGCAGACAGCTAAAATTAACAGATAAATCTCAGGCGATATATTTTTAGATATTCGCGCTAATGAATGCACCGAAATGCGTTGTTGTATTGGTTTGCAGCATTTCCGGTGAGTGTGCACGCAGAATTTCGAGATTTAAGGGAACCCAATAAGGAGATTTTTAAGAATAAATAAGAGATAAATATAAACCAAAATTAGCTTTAAAGATTTGTATTCCATGTCAAGTCCAGGGGCTGGAGACTTTTTCTATGACAACATGAAATTCATATTCATTCATTTGACACTTCTTGTTGTTTTCATAACACATTTTTACAGAACGAGATTTGATCCCAGGCCTTATTTATTGCCAGAAGTTTTTAATTGATTGATTTGATTTTGTTACCCATAATTTTTTTAGCAAAATATTTTGGCGAAATCAGTTCCTTTCGAAAGCTGCAAGACTTCAGCTTTTGAGATTTTATGATTTCGTAGATCAAATGACAATTCTTCACCCATTATCAATGAAAGATAATTGTATGAATGGTTTTGATATTGTCGATAAACTTTTAGGCCTATTAATTGAAATTAGAAAATATTCTAGTTGTAATTTAATTAAGTTTTCAAGTAAATTAATTTGACCATCGAAATCAGTTCCTTTCGAAAGTTGTACGTTGAAACTTTTTGAGATTTTATGACTTCGTATATAAATTGACAATTCTTCACCCATTATCAATTTATGATAATTGTATGAATGCTTTTGATTTTGTCGACAAGCTTTTGTATTTTATTTAGTCTAATAATGTTTATTTAGCTTTTTAGTTTATCGAAAAAAAATTATGAAACCCTTTAGTGATGAATGGATAGATAAAAATTCAAGAAGTACTAAAAAGTTATATAACTTATAAAAGTTTAGGGCATAGCCTATAATTAGCCGTATTACTCCGAGGAGTTATTTGATATTTGATATTTAAAGTTCCCAACATCTGTCAAAAATTTGTTTTGAAGGCCCACGTTTTCGTATACACCCTTATATCTGTATCCCCCAATATTCAGCATTTTGATGATTTTAGTGACATTTTCTAAAGGAATAGTTTGAGGTAGTAGCTACTAATTCCACACCAGTTTATATAGCCCTGGAATTAACGATTCTTGTAGGAAAAAACTGTCCTGTAGAAACAGCCCGGAACGGAAGTCTCGGCCATATTTTTAAAAATTTTACTTTCATCATGACGGAAGGTATAAAACCCCATTCCTCCAAGCCGGACTTTTAGCATTCTTATTTGTGTTGGAGTTATTCGTTCATAATGTCCCATTACTTGTAGTGAAATAGAGAAAAATGTAAATACAAAGTCCATCGCCATCATTTTTACATTTTTTTTTAATTTTATTGAATGAAAGCAAAAACTGTCGGAAATAGCATCAAATTTACTCATCTTTGGCAGGTGCTGAGTCCTGTTGGAATGTCCAAGGTGTGCGGCCAAAATGTTTGCGTGCCCAGGGCTTTAATACACCCTCCAGAATATTTTCGCCTTAATATTCGGCATTTATTCTGATGCCAAGGTCGATTAATACGAGCGGAGATCGACCATCGGCTGTTATGGCGGCCCACACCATCACAATGGCCGGCGCTTGAGTCCTGGTGGTCAACCGAAGATGCACATTTTCAGCTGACCTCTTTGGCAAGTAAATACGATCTGCTGGACAACGAATGTTTTCTCATCGGAGAAAACCAAATTCGGCAGTTCATCACTTTTGGCCAAGCGAAGCAGCTCTTTAGCTCCTTTGAGTCTATTTTCCTTATGTTGCGGTGTAAGTTTTTGCACTTTTTGGAATTTCAATGGCTTTACCCTGAGTTCATTTTTTAATATTTGCCGAATGGAATATTTCGATATGTTCAGCTCACGA